TTACTGTCAACTCTGACCAGCTTCCCTGTTCCTGCTGAAGGAAAGCATCTCCACAACATGATGCTGCCACCATCATGTTTCACGGTGGAGATGGTGTGTTCAGGGCGATGTCCAGTGTTAGTTTTCCGCCACACATAGCGTTTTGCATTTAGGCCAACAAGTTCAATTTTGGTCTCATCTGACCAGAGCACCTTCTTCCACATGTTTGCTGTGTCCCCCATATGGATTCTTGCAAACTGAAAACAGGGCTTCTTATGGCTTTCTTTCAACAATGGCTTTCTTGTTGCCACTCTTCCATAAAGGCCAGATTTGTGGAGTGCATAACTAATAGTGGTTCTGTGGACAGATTCTCCCACCTGAGCTGTGGATCCCTGCAGCTCCTCCAGAGTTACCAAGGGCCTCTTGGCTACTTCTCTGATTAATGCTCTCCCTGCCCGGCCTGTCAGTTTAGGTGGACGGCCATGTCTTGGAAGGTGTGCAGTTGTGCCATACTCTTTCCATTTTCGGATGATGGATTGAACAGTGCTCCATGAGGTGTTCAAAGTTTGGAAATTATTTTTATAATTTAACCCTACTTTAAACTTCTTCACAAATTTATCCCTGGCCTGCCTGGTGTGTTCCTTGGCCTTCATGATGCTGTTTGTTCACTAATGTTCTCTAACAAACCTCTGCGGGCTTCACAGAACTGCTGTATTTTTACTGAGATTAAATTACACACAGGTGATCTCTATTTACTAATTAGGTGACTTTTGAAGGCAATTGGTTCCACTAGATTTTAGTTAGGGGTATCAGAGTATAGGAGGCTCAATACAAATGCACATCACACTTTTCAGATATTTATTTGTAAAACCATTTTAAAACTATTTTTCATTTTCCTTCCACTCCACAATTATGTGCCACTTTGTGTTGGTCTATCACAGTGGTCGGCAAGCCGCGGCTCGCGAGCCACATGCAGCTCTTTACACGCTTTAATGCTGCTCTTGTGTGCCGGGCGCCCGCTCCCCTCCCTCCTCTCGGGCGGCAGGGACTCTGCAGCGTGATCCAAAAAAAAAACAGCCAGGGCAGCACGCTCAAATGCAATGATTGGCCAGTCTCGCTGCCACTCACATCCTGATAGCCAGTGATTGGCTGGCAGGATGTGTGTAGGCGGGGCAGTGTGATGAACGTGAGAGGAGCTAGGCTCCTCTCACAGTCCGCCCTGAAGACCGGAACGGCGCGGGAACACGGCAAGAGGAACGCGCGGAGCAAAGGTAAGTGAATTGACACAGGGGGGACTTGGCTTACTACTTGCTACTTACTTACTACTACTATATGAGGGATGAATTAATATGGGGGATGAATTACTATAGGGGGGATGAATTACTATGGGGGAATGAAATTACTATGGGGGATGAATTTACTATGGGGGATGAATTACTATGGGGGATGAATTACTATAGGGGGGATGAATTACTATATGGGGGATGAATTACTATGGGGGATGAATTACTATGGGGGATGAATTACTATATGGGGGATGTATTACTATATGGGGGATGTATTACTATATGGGGGATGCATTACTATAGGGGGGATGAATTACTATAAGGGGGGATGAATTACTATGGGGGATGAATTACTATATGGGGGATATGAATTACTATATGGGGGATGAATTACTATATGGGGGATGGGGGATGATTACTATGGGGGATGAATTACTATATGGGGAATTAATTACTATATGGGGGAATTAATTACTATATGATGAATTAATATATGAGGATGAATTACTATGGGGGATGAATTACTATATGGGGGATGAATTACTATATGGGGGATGAATTACTATGGGGGATGAATTACTATATGGGGGATGAATTACTATGGGGGATGAATTATTATAAAAACTTATTGAAACTAAAAACAGTGTACCATCCTATGTATTTTCAGTTTTAAAAATGTGGCTCTCAAAATAAATTTCAATCGTGGTTTTGGCGAGATTTGGCTCAGTTGAAAAAAAAGGTTTCCCACCACTGGTCTATCACATAAAATCCCAATAAAACATATTTACGTGTTTGGTTGTAAAATGAGAAAATGTGGAAAAGTTCAAGGGGTATGAATACTTTTTCAAGGTACTGTAGGGGTTTATTTATTGAAACTGGGGAGTGCAAAATCTGGTGCAACTCTGCAGAGAATCAGCTTCTAGGTTTTATTGCCAAAGCGTAATTGAACAAGCTGACTTTATAATCTGATTGGCTACCATGCACAGCTGCACCAGATTTTGAGTGCGCCATTTTTGGTAAATCTAACCCCACAGACTTATCCGAATTGTTGAAGGGGTCTGTCTATTGGTGAAAACAGATACTATAGTAAAGTTAAAGTGGACCTTGCACCAAAAGCACTATGATGTCACCTTCTGCATTGCAGAACCTGGGGTTAAAGAAGTATATATTTTAACTTTTTCCCCACACAGTTGTTTTTAGACTTTAATACAGCAATTTGGTATGGGGGGGGGGGGGGGTTCTTATACACAATCTGACTTTTTCTTTTAGTGCAAGTTCAACTTTAAAGTGAGCATTTTATATAATAAGAATGCACGGATTTAAAACTGTCAGGGAGAACATACATGGAACTTTATCAACATGCTAAATGAGCCCTGAGATAAATAAATTATAGTAATAAACCTAATTTTACTATTTTTTCTTCCAGGCTCTAATCAGTCTCATATTAAATGCTATGAACTTATAATTCATTTTAGCATATGTTATGAGAAGACTCATCTGGGAATCATCTGTTTCTTGTGGCTTTCTGGATATGTCAGAACACCAGCCTCCCCCAGGCTATGAGCAGACTCATAAGGCTTCAAAGGGAGGAGAGGTTATACTACATCCTGACTAACCGAAAGGCACACAGAAACATACTGTGATTCCATCACAAGCTACAGAGGCAAACTCCTATCCCACCGCTCCCTGCTTCTCTGATGGTATTAGACTTGCAAATGTTAAAGTGCTTAGAAATTAGTGATTTAATAATTTTACCAGACATTACCAAATATTTAAAAAAATCTAATTGATCATGTGCTTTTGCCTATAAATCTACTGCATTATTTAAAGCCAAACCCAAACAAACAGTTAAATAGCCAGGAAGGTTCTGTTTTCACTTGCCAAAGAATTTGTAATTCTGTCCAGCAAGTCCTGAAATGTCCAAACCCTGCCAGGAATTACAGATTGGATAGTAACTTCACTGCAAATTCCCACCTCCTTATCCCCCACCTGTGACTGGACAATGAAGGAGCAGCAACAGACTGATAAGATTACCTAAAATCCTCTTCCCTTTGCCAGCATATTTTGTGTGAGCAAATGTGCTTGCAGCAGAACATAATTGGTGCTGAGTACTGACTCTCTCTTAGGCCTCATTCACATGGGACGTACATAGCTGTATGCCCATGGAGGGCAGTATTTACCCATACAGGGATGCACAGGTGCTCCATGCATCGTCATAAAGGGTATCCCATTGCTGTTGATTGGGATGCAGCAACTGCATGGACACTGCTCTCAATGTGACATGTATGTGGGTGTGGGTGCATGGCCCTGAATGCATCCTGGACAGCATTAGGACTGCATGCATAGGGGTGCATGAAACACTTGTGCATCCTAATGCAGATAATGAGTAATGAAATGGATAACTGAGCCAGACCCTGGAGAAAACAGAGAGAAGGAGGAAAAAAACAATGTTTTGGGGATGTAAGAACCCGCATTCTCAAGAACCTCCACCTGTAGGAGGTTCTTAAGAAAGAGGGGTTCTCACATCCCCAAAACTAGGTTTTTCCTCCTGATTCCTCTTTCCACCAGAGTCTGGCTTCTCTATCCTTTTCACTGCTCTATTCTGGTACTGAACTCCTGTATGCAGGGGCGGACTGACAACTCATGGGGCCCCCGGGCAATAGGGGATCATGGGGCCCCTGTGTCCTTGCCCAAACTCAAAAAAGCCTATGAAAAAGGTACCAGGGGAATCTCATAGGGCCCCCTACTGACCCCGGGCCCTCGGGCAGTGCCCAAGTTTCCAAATTGTCAGTCCGCCCCTGCTTGTATGTATTTCTGAACAACAGCTCTTATGCGTTTTAAGTGTAGATCACTGTACCTACAGTATATATATGTATGTGTTTTTGCTGGTGTGATGCAACAGTGGAGCGAATATCTTTACTGTATTATGCTTGATGAGGTATGACATACTCGGCTATTTGTATCTATTGTATATTGTTTGTATATGCCTTTTGGAAATGTATTGCTAAAGCATTTTTGTTACGTGGTGTGCTTATTCTGTATACATCATTTAAAAGTACGAACAGATTGATTCACTGTAGAGAGATTAACCACTTGCCTACCAGGCACTTATACCCCCTTATTTACCAGGCCAATTTTCAGCTTTCAGCGCTGCCGCATTTTGATTGACAATTGCGCGGTCATGCAACATTGTACCCATATGAAATTTTGATCATTTTTTTTTCTCACAAATAGAGCTTTCTTTTGGTGGTATTTAATCGCCACTGGGTGCTTTACTTTTTGCGCTATAAATAAAAAATTGCCAAAAATTTGAAAAAAAAAAAAAAGTTTCTTTGTTTCTATTATAAAATTTTTCAAACAGGTAATTTTTCTCCTTCGCTGATGTGCGTTGATGAGGCAGCACTGATGGGCACTGATAGGCGGCACTGATGGGCACTGATAGGCAGCACTAAAGGGCACTGATAGGCAGTACTAATGAGGTGGCACGGATAGGCGGCACTGATAGACAGCACTAATGAGGTGTCACAGATAGGCGGCACTAATATGCAGCACTGATAGGCGGCACTGATAGGTGACACTGATGATGGGTACTGATAGACGGCACTGACTGGCATCACTGCTGGGCACTGACTGGCGGCACTGACTGGCACAACCGCTGGGCACTGACTGGTGGCACTGACTGGCAGCACTGCTGGGCTGCACTGGTGGGTGGCACTGGCGGGCAGCACTGGTGGGTGGGCACAGGTGGGTGGCACTAGTGGGCACAGGTGGGTGGGCACAGGTGGGTGGCACTGCTGGGCACAGGTAGGTGGCACTTCTGGGCACAGGTGTGTGAAATTGCAGAGTGGCACAGGTGGGTGCACTGCTGGGCACAGGTGGGTGATCTGCTGGGCACAGGTGGGCGGAGCTAGTGGGCGCACTGCAGGGTACAGGTGGGCAGAACTTGCGGGTGGCACTGCTGGGCACCGATCATCAGGGCACTGATCATCAGTGCCCTGATGATCGGTGCCGATCCCCGCTCTGACAACTGCCGGTTCTCGGCAGTACTTTCCTCACGATCTGACAGCGTGAGGAAAGTGCAGCCGAGAACCGGCACTTGCATTTCCCTCTGATCAGCGTGTCATTGGACACTGCTGATCAGGTGGTAAAAGGCCGCTGTGATTGGCCTTTTACCACATCACGTAATCAGCTGTGTCCGTAGGACACAGCGATCACGGAGATCGCCGGGTGCGCGCCCCCTGGGGCGTGCAGGAGAGCGCGTTATGGGGGGACGTCATATGACGTCCACTCAGAACTGGCCGGCCGCAGTGCAGCCGTCATTCGGCTATCTGCGGTCGGCAACAAGTTAAAGCACAATGAAAAATAATCCATTATGGGTTGCTGAACGGTGTAGTTAATAGTGATGTGCAAACCTTTGTTGCTAAAACATACTATGCAAGACTTTAACCCTTTGGACAGACAGGGTTCGACTTATTAAAACTGGAGTGTGCAAAATCTGGTGCAGCTTTGCATAGAAACCATTTAGTGTTCCATTTTTTTTTTTGTCAAAACTTAGTTGAACAAGCTGAAGTTGAAAACTGATTACCATGCACAACTGCACCAGATTTTGGACTTTCTAGTTTTAGTAAATCAACCCCACAGTGTTCATATCAAATTTACAACTGATAATGAGATTCCTCAGTACAGTATAGACAGGGTTAATTATGACAAACACAGCTCTCCAGTTTCCTAATAAACTAAGTACGATTTTTCTGGGAATTATCAGAAAAAAAAGCATTTAAACATTTTTAAATTGTGCTACGTGAATGAGAACATACTGTGTATCAATTTAAAGCAGGTGTTATCTCAATTTGGCTGCAAAAGTGGAAAGTATTTTTTTTTAAAAGTAACTCAAAATAAAGAAAAAAAAATCTCCTTCCAAACTGCTAGAGATGAATCTGGGAGCTGGACTGTATCAGTAAATCAAGATACAGTTTAAAATGTGCAGCCAGACCTTGGAGCACAGAAACTGCCCTACTATTCTGTGCCATTTACTAGCTCAATGCTCATCTTACACCCTTTGCCAAATAAAAACCTTCATATACCTGATGTAATGCCTGCTAAAAGATTAAATTTAGTTTTTGTGGACCTTGCACCAAAAACTCATTGGACTAGTGATCTGTTTTTCTGGTCTGGTCAGGTTTCCCTAGGGCCAATAGCTGATTGCTCTTGTCTGCTTCTGTGGAAGTGTGTAATAAAAGAGACAGCCATTGATTTTTGAATATTTCAGACCCCAGCCAATACCTGGGAATGGAGTGCCCAGAAGGGGGCTGGAGAGGTGATAAATATTTTGGCGATCTAGGCAGAGGGCTCTATTTCCTCTCTAGGAAGGGTTCCAGTTTTCCTGGGCTGCTGCTCCTAGGAGACAGCTAGTGCATGACAAGAGTTGCAGTTTGGACCCCAGCAAGTACTGGGCTGAAGGCCTGGAGAAGATAGGCCAAAAGGATTTTTGCTGGAGGGCATCATCGTGTAGCCTGGTCTAGAAAAGGGTCATTGTATCCCTCAACGAAGAGCGTTGCATAGAAGCTAGGTGGCAGACAGCAATCCTAAGACATTGTGAGTAAGACCTGGTCTTGGACTCTCAGGTGTGCACATGGTAGAGGGAACTGAGTGCCAGAGGTTACTAGATGGACTGGGACTGCTCTTACAGAGACCTAGAATTCCCGGCAATTCCCTATTACCTCCAGTTAAGGCTGTTTCAACAGGATTTTGTAAGTAAGTTGCCCTCCTGTGAATTTCTGCTATGGTTGTGGAATATCCAGAAAACTTAAATCTTTGTATGGCCCCCACGTGCTTGTATGCATGCCTGACAACTTTGGGGCATGCTCCTACTGAGACGATGGATGGTGTCCTGGGATATTTCCTCCCAGATCTGGACCAGGGCATCACTGAGCTCTTGGACAGCCTGAGGTGCAACCTGTCGGCGTTGGATGGACCGAAACATGATATCACAGAGGTGTTCTATTGGATTTAGGTCAGGCGAGTGTGGGGGCCATTCATTGGTGTCAATTCCTTCATCCTCCAGGAACTGCTTGCATATTCTTGCACCATGAGGCCGGGCATTGTCATGCACCAGGAGGAACCCAGGACCCACTGCACCAGTGTAGGGTCTGGCAATGGGTCCAAGGATTTCATCCCGATAACTAATGGCAGTCAGGGTGCCATTGTTAAGCCTGTAGAGGTCTGTGCGTCCCTCCATGGATGGGCCTCCCCAGACCATCACTGACCCACCACCAAAAACGTCATGCTGAACGATGTTATAGGCAGCATACCGTTCTCCACGGCTTCTCCAGACCTTTTCACGTCTGGCACATGTGCTCAGGGTAAACCTGCTCTCATCTGTGAAAAGCACAGGGTGCCAGTGGTGGACCTGCCAATTTTGGTGTTCAATGGCAAATGCCAATAGAGCTCTGTGGTACTGGGCAGTGAGCACAGGGCCCTCTAGAGGGCGTCAGACCCTCAGGCCACCCTCAGGAAGGCTTTTTCTGATTGTCTGGTCGGAGACATTCACAGCAGCGGCCTGCTGGAGGTCATTTTGTAGGGCTCTGGCAGTGCTCATCCTGTTCCTCCTTGCACAAAGAAGTAGATACTGGTCCTGCTGATGGGTTAAGGACCTTCTTCGGCCCTGTCCAACTCTCCTAGAGTAACTGCCTGTCTCCTGGGATCTCCTCCATGCTCTTGCAACTGTGCTGGGAGACACAGCAAACCTTCTGGTAATGGCATGTATCGATGTGCCATCCTGAAGGAGTTGGACTGCCTGTGCAACCTTTGCAAGGGTCCAGGTATCGCCTCATGCCACTGACCCTATCCAAATGCAAAACTAGTGAAAAACATTCAGAAAAGATGAATAGGGAAAAAAATGTCAGTGGCCCCCACCTGTAAAACCATTCCTGTTTTGGGGGTCATCTCATTGTTACCCATCTAGGGCACCTGCTGTTAATTTCATTAACACCAAAGCAGCTGAAACTGATTAACAACTCCCTCTGCTACGTAACTGACCAGATCAATATGACTTGATACCGTAGTCTGATTAAAAAGTGTTTCTTTCCTTTTTTTAAGCAGTGTAGTTGAAAAGAGCTCCAATTATCTTCAGGAGCCAGGGTGCCAACTGCACCCTGAAAAAACACTCTAAAGTGTTTGTGGAACTAAAAAAAATGGGCAGATAGTAGCTTTCCCTTCCTTACCTTTTTTAGCAGTCTTATAATTTTTCATTTCAGGCCTTTTTTTTCTTTCTGTTGGTGATCATGCCTGCATCAGCCTTGCGTGTAACTTACTGTCCTAGGGTGACAACACTGCCATATTTTGTGTCTGTGAAGGCATGATGTAACCCTAAGCTTCTGCTTAAGTATAAGCCGATGTGCTGATGTCCAGAGCGCCAGCATATTCAGCTTGATGGACATGGCTGTGACCCAATTTTTAATGTGGCTTAAGCATTAAGACCGCTCCCAGTTTAGCTGTCATGCTATGGAAACGTCATTGCACATCATGCACCCGTGCTGTGTCCAGACTGGAAAGCAAGCCCCAAAAGCTGCAGAATTATGTGCACAACCTGATGAAATTAAATATAAAATAATTATTCAAAAGAGGATGTTAAAAAATTATCTCTATATTTAAAATATTTTTGCCCAGACCTGATTTACACAGAAATTTCAGGAAAATAAAACCTCTTACTGGGTTCAATATACTGTATTTCTCTTTTGTGACATCTCTTTTTCTTTCCTTTCTCATTTCTACAATCCCTCCTTGTATTCTCTACATCCTGAACATTCATTTCAGGGCAGGTTGCCAGAAGCAAATTGCAGAAGTTGTCACTTACGTCGTAACAAATCTTTCACTCCGGTGCCACAGTTTTTTTACAAGTTCTCACTTTCATGCAAGGGGAAAAAAACTAATAACATCTAAGCAAAACACAAGCTTCGGGGAGCTTTTAAATTGCATTTGAATAGTTGATAAAACAATGCTTGAAGAGCACAATAATGGGAAATGGGTTAACTCTTAAAACGCTTCCTTTAAAGTTTTATTCAGTACATATATTATGGCTTTCTGATTGCGATAATAAAGGTATTTTATAACATCTCACAAAGTCTAAAAGCTATTTTAACGAGTAGCTTATGCTGTCCAGGTACCAATATGCAGAACAGGTGTTTCCTGTTGCTTGTATAGCACCCTCCTAGATAGCTAGGGGGCATTAGATTAGGTTTTCAGCTAAAAAGGCTGAATAGCAGCCTGAGAGTTAGAAGGGGTTGTTTGAGGTAAGGGCTGGCAGGCTCTGCTGGTTAGTCCCTTGACACCTCCGCCTAATCTAGAGATTTTGGAGAAGATTCTTGAAGCAATGGGCAGGGGTGAGGAGGGGCTGGCCTACACATTTAGAGGACCTTGGCCAATCCTCAGCTTGGCATGGGGCCAGGGCAGCCTTTAAATGTGCTGCAGCCTGCTCAGCAGCAGGAGAGTTTGGGTGGAAGATGAAGTGAGAGGCTGGACAGCAGAAGCCTGGGAGGGGGTCCAGATGGAAAGGCTCACCTACAGGCAGAGGAGCTGGAAAGAAGGAATGCTCAGGACCTCATCGGCCCCCAGAGCGAGGACCATCTGTGCAGCAGGGAAGGAGCATCCCAGCAGAAGGCCTTAGAGCAGCCACTGACCCATCAGCTCACAGACATAGGACCGAGTGAGTAGACATACACCCCCTGGGCCAGAAAGAGGAAGGAGCACTCTCGTGGGAAGCTGGATTAGCATGCTACCCGGGACTGTCTTCTATTTAAAGTAACAGGCACTGGATCCCCTGCCCAGAGATTCACACAGTACAGCTGGATTAAGGATTACCTGGGGTGGTACACCAAGAAATGCTGGCTAGCTCCCCAGAAGATAATTTTTTGATGTTAAAGAGACTTGTACATAGTTCCAGGAAGATTTTCCTCAGTTGTCATTCCCTTTGGACATCCCATACATCCCTTACCCTATCCAAGTTCAATTCCCCTCATGAATTCCAAAAAAACAAGGTCAAAGACTGGTTACTGTCTCCTGGATGCAAGTCTGTGTAGAAAATGCATGTTTCCTGGCTGTG